AAGAGTCACTGGAGACAGAGTAGGGAGCAGACAGGCAGGCTGACAAGGCATACTGCTGAGGGGAGCAGCGGGCAAGATAGGAGAGGTCTGCTGCTTCCTGTGGGTCATCCCTGGCTGGGGATGTCTCGTGTGCAGTAGCTAGGGTATCTTCATAGTGCTGCGCTTTGACCCCTGCGCCCCCAGGGAGACCTGGGGTTCAGTTCCTTAATGAAGATGCTAGTTGAGCTGCAGGGGCAGTGAGCCATGAACAGAGTGCCGTGTGGGCCTGGTGAGCCGAGGCTCCTCTTGGAGAAGGGGCGCCCTTGTGCTGGCCGGCACCGCGGCCAGGCTTCCCCTCTGGCTCCTTGGCTGGCGTCAGCCTCATGCTTGGCTTTACTTCAGAAGGCTGGAAGTAATGTTGAGTCCTGGCAAGTCTGGAAGGATCATCTGTGCCGAGGTTCCCGTCCCTCTTAAGATAATCATAATCCCCGGGCTCAGCGGTGTTCTCTTTCTAGGGAGCTCAAAGTGCCATCTGCTTCTGCCCAAGACTGGCCGGTGAGGTCCGGGCGTGAGGCGTCCCGGCACAAGGGGTGCCGGGGTGAGCGGCTCTTCCACGCTATCTTTATTTGTCCGTTGGCATACGACAAACTGCAGAGCGGTTTCCATGCGTTAACTGCTGTTCTCTCAGTGCCACTAGAGCTTTGCAGACATGTAGGAACACCGAGGCCTTCCCGGCCTTTGCGGAGACACCGGCTGTCTGGAAAGTTACCCCTGTGCTAGTGTTTGCCAGGCATTTACATAACCGTGTACATGTAAAATAGTCACTTTTTAAATAATACATCATGTGATCTGCTGTGATTTGGAGTGTTCAGTGTGCGGGATGTGGCTGTAACCACTTTTCTGGAGATTTGGGTTTTCAGGTTTCACTGCTGACTGACTGAAGCTCCTTCACCGAGGAGACACAAGTTCTGTGTCGAGGGTCTGCTGGAAGTAGAATTGTTGATTGTTTTTACGTCAGCATTTTTACAGGCATAATTTGTACACACCAAAATTACCAGCAAAGTGCATAGTCCGTAAGATTTGCCTGGTGTGTCGCACGGTCCAGAGGGAGCGTGTCAGTCACACCGAGCTGTGACAAGCGGTGAGCGTCGGCCTCCCAGGGCTGTGTCGGGCCGAACCTGCCAGCAGCGCCGAGGGCAGGTTTTCCGTACTGGGTTGTCATTGGCCTGGTTTTTCAGATTGAGGAGAAAGAAATGATAATCTCGTTTTCATTCACGTTTCTCTGATAACTACAGAGATGGAGCCTTTTCCTTGTGAGTGGCCAGTCCTGTTTCTGAGGAGATCCGTGTCCGTTACGTTGGGTTACCTTGTTACTGACTCTGGAGGGTGCCTGCTCTGTTCTGAGCACTCCTCTTGGCTCAGGTCTGCACACTCCCCTGCGCAGGCGTCGGGGCCACCAGGCCTGGGCGTGCCCGGGTGCTGGCAGAGTATCAGGGGCCTGGCGGAGCAGGCGGGCTCTCGGGTTGTACTTGGCGGCGCGGGCTGCTAGCGCCTGCCCCGGGGAGACCCGCTGTTCCAGATACTGTGGGCGCCCCGTGCCTGGGTGGACGGTCATCTGCGCTGGTGGGCAAGACACATGCAGACCCCGCGGCCCCCACCTCACCCGTTGTCCTGACCCGGCCACGCTGGGGCCCACACGAACACGTCTGGGGGGCTCGCGGATCCCCTGGCCGGGCCGACTGCTCTGTGCAGCCAGAGTCCTGGGGTGCTCAAACGGGCCGTGTGTGTTAGGGCATTTGCTTAACTGCGGAGTGAGTCACGCATTCTGCAGCGCACAAAAGTCCCAGCGTGACCTGGGAGCGCTCCTTCCCACTCACAGTGACGGACAAGCGGTCCAGCGTCTTCAGCGGGCAGTCACCTGGCTTCCCCGGCCCGGAGAGGTGCTCGCCCGCGTCAGCCTGCGCGGGGCCGCCGCTCGCCGTCACGCCCGTGTCGCTCTTCCTCTCGTTCCCCAGTTCCAGTCGTTCAGTCAGTACCGCTGCAAGACTGCAAAGAAGTCAGAGGAGGAGATTGACTTCCTTCGTTCCAATCCCAAAATCTGGAACGTCCACAGTGTCCTCAATGTCCTTCATTCCCTGGTGGACAAGTCCAACATCAACCGGCAGCTGGAGGTGTACACGAGTGGAGGTGAGTGCGGAGGGCGCCGCCGCCGTGTGCTGCCCTGAGGGGCGCCGGCTGCCGGGTGAGTGCGTCGCAGCTCCAGGCTGCTGTTCAGGTGAGCGCCTCAAATGTTGGGACCGCTTTATATTCTTTTTTTTTTTT